GGTTAGGGTATGCAGCATGAAGGCAATGCCTTGCTTACACAGCTTTTCTGAATCTTGCTGCAATCCTCTGAAAATTATCTGTCACATTTTTAAGAGTAAGTGGATACCCAAGGTCATGTAGTCAGTGAGGGCTCTGGAAGGCCAAAAGCAGCTCTTACATTCCTGGAGACCACACTGTCCTCACTGCCTCACCAGATCAGACTATGAAATGGGGAGAAAATACTCCTGTTGTGGGACTGCTGGGAAAATGGGCAGGACTTAATGTCAGAGTGGTTGTCATTTTAGACTTAGGCAAAGAAGACATTGGGAGTCGTAGACATTAAGGAATTTCACTTTCAGTTCTGCCAGGTGCTTGAATTGAGCACTTGTCACATAGCCCAGAGGAGGCCACCTATGATTATACCCATTTCATTTTTTTTTTTTTTGAAAGTAAATGTTGTATTAGGGGATATCTACAAAGGTTATATTAAGTTATGTTAGGGTATATACTTAAATGGAAATATATGGTATACTCTAATTATAGCATAGCAATTCTTACATGTAATATTTATCCCTATAATTCAAAGATAAAAAGGCAAAATACAATACGGCTTAAACAATATGTTTGAAGGTACACATACTAGTATATAAGATTTTTAGTTTATTTTTTTAAATAAAGTGAAATGTGCTTTTTTAAAAAATATTTTTTAATGTTTTTACTTTTGAGAGAGAGAAAGACAGTGCACGAGCAGGGGAGGGCCAGAGAAAGAGGGAAACACAATCTGAAGCAGGCTCCAGGCTCCGAGCTGTCAGCACAGAGCCTGATGCGGGGCTCAAACCCACAAACCATGAGATCATGACCTGAGCCGAAATCGAACACAACCCACTGAGCCAACCAGGCACCCCTAAAATATATCATCTTGAAGTTAACATTAATTCGAGTTTGGAATTTGCCCTCAACTATTCTATATTATATGTTGTTAAAAAGTAAGTGAATAATTCTAGATATCCCTGAGTATATAGAGGTAATCCATGTAATCCATGAAGCGAGATGAGATACTCCTATTCCTTACATCATCACAAAGAAGGTACTACTGTTGCCTTAAACTGAGTTCAGTTAAGCCAGTGTTCCTATCCCTGAGCTATGGTGATTAGCTTAGGGAAAGGCATGTGTCCTAGTGTAAACAGATGATACATGAAGGAATCCCTCCACCTCACTATTGAGCAGAAGCTACCAGAAGAAGCTGTTGTATTGATGTGTGGAGGAAGGATGTGAGCCTGGAGCTGCTGCCATGAGGGGCTCTAGCTTCAGATGAAGGCAACCACAGGAAGGAGGACAAGGAAAAGGGAAAAGATGAAAACGAGGCTGCTATCTCTGGTCAACTTCTGGATCAAACTGCTCCTGAAGCTGATTTACCTATGAATTTCTTTTAAGTTATAGGACTCACTAAATGCAGTTTTGGGGGTAAGCCCATTTGAGTTGGTGTTCTCTGCCACATGGACCAAAAGAATCTTACTGTTATTCTTAGTATAGGGATAAGGAAGTTTTATAGTTCGCTTCTGGGCACTTGAAACTGTCTACCATTTGAACCTCAGCTCTGTTATCACAAATCAGGCTATGACATCTGGACATCTGCTCATGACCAATGCTGACAGGAGCTCATTCATGCAAGTTCCACATTCCAGGATCCAGGAAAGGGGACTGCTGGGCCTCTGTGAGCTCCTAGAACAAAACTTTCAGCAATTACCCCAGTGGGATGAGACTCCAGGTTATCCATACATTCCTATAGCCCTGGGTAAGCATCTAATTCTCAAAGAACACCTACAGCTGTCATTCTGCCTGGATGTCTCACTGCATTGCCAAAGGCCTCTTATTTAGTATTCTAGGGACCACGACTCTGCAGAGTGTTCCTTTGGATCATTCATTCATTCATTCTTGCTTTCTTACTTCGTTCTGACCACCCCATTCTCTTGAGCCTGCTTCTCCTTTGTGAGCTTTTCACTTGCTGCCCTGCTTCCTGCACGCTTTTTCGTAGATCCCCACAGAGAAGCTTCCTTATTTCCAACTACTACTCACCCCCACCAGCACCCTTTCCCCTGGCATTCTTTATATCTTATCCTGCTTTATTTTCCACACACATGTTCCTCTACTGCAATGTAAACCATTGGTCCAGGTCTTCATCTCTCTTGCACACTAAATATCAGATACTGAGCTCTGGAATTTGAAGTAAAGAAATGTAACAACTGAGTGTCTCCAATGTGCTAGAGGCTTCAGAGACATAGTTCAAGGACTTCACCATTTGATTTTTTTTTTTTTTAAGTAAACTCTGCATCCAGTGTGGAGTTGGAAATGACCCTAAGATAAAGAATTGTATGCTTTAGTGACTAAGCCAGCCAGGTGCCCCATCACCAAGTAATTATTGACATTTTTCAGAAGAGGAAGCTGAGTTTCTGAGAAGTTAAGCAGTTTTGCACAAGAAACGCCCAGTTATTGAGGGGCAAAGCCATGAAATGAAGTCTCCCAAGCCATGTTCCATTGGTTAAATTAGGTAAACACCGCTGCTACAGCCACAGACTGTGGTGAGGGAAATATTCAAGACAATAAGGATTTGCAAAGTGCTCTGCAAACTACAAACATTACCACTCCTGGCTTCCATCTACTGCTACTGAGTACCTCCATGTGTCAGATGCTTAGCACGTATTATCACACTAAAGTCTCAGAACAACTTCCCCAAAGAAAGAATGAAAAAAAATATTTTCCAGTATTTCCACTTTGCAGATGAGGAAATGGGCTCAGAGAGAAGTGGTTTGTTTAAGGTACACAGTGACAGCTGAGTTTTGAATCCTGGGTAGTCTTGTGTAAGAAAATTAAAAGCCTGGGCCCTCAAGGCCTTAACTTGAGAAACATTTACTCTTCCAAAGATGGACACCCAGATGCTTCTAACATCCCTCACCCCCACTGCAAATACCCCTGAGCTAAACATCTCTTTGCCTATGCCCTTACAGAGCTGAACATGTTTGGGATATGATCCTAAGACCAGAATTATGAAGTTGAAGGGGTTGTCAATATTTTACCAGACTTGAGGCCTCACATAATGTTCCCATGTGTCTGGCTCCTCTCTGCCTTCCCTGGGATAGGCCCACATCTCCATGCATGGCCCACACTGCCCCTCCTAGGAGCTGGGACTAAGAGCCCACCACTGTCTAGAGTCATTGGAGAAAGGGAATGTCCCCCTAGATGAGAGTTTTTAAGACAAAATAGCCTGTGCCCAGTCCCATGTCTGTTGCCTTGTTTATGGAAAACCAGAAGCCTATGGAATGTGAAGACTGCACAGTGTAGTCTTCAAGAATGTCTGGGCCATGTGGCATCAAGGAAATGTCTGGTGAAATCACTCAAGTCTTAGGACCCCCTTCTTGGGACTATGCCTTGGGTCTCTTAGCCTGCCCCAGGCCCTGCAGCTCAGGCCTGGCTCTTCCAGTGCTTTCTTTTTTTGGGGTCTGTCTTCCTCACAGATCTATGGGGAGTATCAGATGACAACATGGTTGTGACTTGTAAACTATAAAGTATCGGGCTTAACTGAGGAGCTATGAGAGTGACTTTAAGCGTTGACAGTCCCTGGAGTGAGAAGTAGCCTTCTGGGAGCTAAGTCTATATAGATACAGATGGCCCATGCCTCCTGATATAAGCTGTTGGTAAGAGCTATATTCAAATCCTGCTCTGCCACAGCTATTGCTGGGACCTTAGACAGCTGATTTCACTTCCTTGAACCTCAGTTTTTTTTTTTTTACTGTAAATATGGGACAAAACTGTATCTACCTCATTGTGCAAAGATTACAAGAGATGGTGGGACCAATTTGGAAAACAGTTTGCTAGTTCCTTCCTCGGAAGATTGTATAGGTTACCATATAACCTAGCAATTCCCACTTCTAGGTATTTTACCCAAGAGAAACAAAACTATGTCTATACAAAAGCTTGTACCTGACCATCACTGACAAATGGATAAACAATATGTGGTATTGCATTTGGTGCAATATTATGCAGACATAGAAAGGAATGAAGTACTGATACATGCTACAACATGGATGGACCTTGAAAACATGCTGAATAAAAGAAGCCAGACACAAAGGCCACATATTGAATGATTCCATTTGTATGAAATGTCTAGAAAGGGCAAATCTTTAGAAACAGAAAGCAGATTTGTGGTTGCCAGGGACTAGGGGAGGAAGGATGGCCAGTGACTGCAAAGGGATAGGAATTTGGGGGGTGATGAAAATGTTCTAAAATTAGGTTGTGGTGATAGTTGCACAACTCCACAAATATGCTTAAAACCATTGAATTATACACTTTAAACCGGTGATTTTTATGGTAGGTTAATTATGTCTCAATAAAGCTGTTGGGAAAAAGATTACAAGAGAAAAGGTAGAACTTGGGGCAATGAGTGTCTCAATAAACGTTGGTCATTACCCTTCATTAATTAGGTCTCCCAAGGACTCATTTAAAGCCTTAGAAGCAGTGAGCAGGGGCTGCGGAACTTCTAGCTCAGCCTGGGTCTTTAGGCCGTTGAGTGTCCCTGGGCGAATCCCTTGATCCATCCTGGGTCTCCTCAGAGCTCCTCATAAAATAAATGGCTGAAACCATCCCTACCTACATCCCTGGGGTCTCGCGAGGAGCCGAGGGCTCAGGAGGTAGATGCAGAATCCCCAGTGCACTCCCTTGGCCTGTGACTGAGTGGCCGCAGGTGACAGGCAGGCGGGAGCCAACCGGGAAAGGCCTGGGGAGCCGTTTCAGGTAAGCTCTCGTGATTGACAGCCCGGGGGGAGGGTTCCGGGCGACGGCTGCCCCGCCCCCTCACGTCGGGTCGGTTGGCGCCAGCCTAGGGGAGGTGGGCGGGCCCTGGGGTCCGCGGCGCCCATTGGGCGTGGGGGGAAGCTCCCGGGAGGGCCTAGGGCTCCGCCCCTGGCCTTGCGGCGGCCAATGGACGCGGTGCGTGGGCGGGGCGTCGGCGGCGTCGGCGGCGGCCGGGAGGCTGAGGCGGCTGAGGTGGCCGCTGGGGCTGAGTCGGCGGGCGCGGCCGGGATGGCGAAGAGCCGCGGAGAGAACGGGCCGCGCGGGCCCGCGGCCGAAGGAAGTCTGTCGGGGACCCGGGAGAGCCTGGCACCGGGCGCCGACGCCGCAGCGGCCGACGAGCTCAGCTCTCTCGGCTCCGACTCGGAGGCCAACGGCTTCGCCGAACGCCGCATCGACAAGTTCGGCTTCATCGTGGGCTCGCAGGGCGCCGAGGGCGCGTGAGTAGCGCCGGGGCTCGGGGCCGGGGGCCAGGGCAGTCGCGGGACCTTCGCGCTGGGGGCCTCGACGCTGACAGAGCCTCTCTCAGGACAGACCAACAATCTCCTCTCCCAGCCAGAGACAACCGACCCCTTCTCTCCCAGTCATCACCACCCCTCCTCCCAGCCCCCCACCAGAGCCGACTGACCCGCCCCTCATTCGGCAGCCTGCTTCCGACCTAAGGACAGACAGGCCGGCCCTACCTTCCCCTTGCCTTCCCCGCCCTCCAGACACATTGACCCGCCCCCAGGAAGGGCCCGCAGTGCCCTCCTCCCAACTGCGGGGCAGAACGACAGACACCTGGCCCAACCCCACTGCTGCCACCGCGGCCTTAGGCCTAATTGTGCCACCCCTGACAGGCTCACAGATGGCTGCCCCTCCCCCGACACATACCCTCTCTACCCCCATTCCCGTGGACCCACAGACGCCCTGTCTCCACCCTCCTACCCCGCACCAGGGGGATACTTTAGGGAGACAGACTTCGAAGGGACAGACTGCCCTGCCCTCATTCCACTCCGGGACAGACTGACCCCTTACCTCAAGACACACAGGCTTCTGGGTGGACTGGACAGACATTGGTCAGCTGCCTCCCAGACAGTCCCTCCCTGGGGCAGAGAGTCCCTTCCCTTCACAGAAGGGTCAGAGAGTGTTCTCCTCCCCTTTCAGAAGCCGATTTCTTCTCACTGGCAACAGGTGGGCAGACACTCCCCCTTCTCAGTATCCACAGGGTGACAGTTCCTCACCTCCAGGACAGATTGTTGGTTTGTCTCCGTGTATGCTGTGGAAGCACACACCTCCTCCCAAACACAGACTCTTGAGAGGGCAGTCATGGAGACAGCAGGGTCCCTGCTGGTAGCACACTCTGATCCCCACCCCCAGAACCTCTAGGACCCAGCTGGCAGGCAGAGATATGCAAGGCAGTGAAGCAGCAGCACCTTCCCTCCAAGCTGGGTAACTGGGCAGCCACACTACCTTCAGAACCCTCTGAGCCTGATCAGAGTTCATATGTATGGGTTGGCAGTCCCTTTACAAAGGACAAACTTCAGACCCCACTCCCATCCCAGCTGTTCTGTCACATGAGAACAGTGTTCTGCACAGAATTGACAAGCGTCCCTATGGTGTGCCTCCCCTTCAACAGAGGGCCTCACACAATTACCTGTGGGGGCCCCACAGGACTCAGCCAAGACCCGACTCCACGTGGTCCTTTCTCCCTTCTCTGACCAGTTGTGACTGTCCAAGGCTCCTCCAGCTTCTCTTATGAATTATGAAAGTGCCTTGACCATCTGTTAAGAACCCCACCCCACACAAGCAGCCCCATAAAGGTCACTTCCGGATTTCTCCTAGTCTCAAAGCTTCATATTCACCAGTCCTCCTTCTCTTTTTGAGAAATGTAGCCCCCTCCCCTAAAGAGAGTTATCTCCTATCCACTGGATCTGTCTCCTCCAGCCTCCCCCCCAACTTGCTCATAGCAGGCTAAACCTTGTCCAGTGCAGGACCCAGAGGTCACCCCTTATTCTGATGCCTCACCTTGCTTTGATCCTTTGTCACAGCTCCCCAGGGGTTACCCTGTGAGGACCCAAAGGGGACTTAGAGTATATTTATTTTTTGAGTTAAGGAGCAGTCACGAGCGACCAGGGTCCTGGGCGGGGGGTGGTCTTGAGAAGTGGGAAAAGTTTCCAGTTGCATTTGTGGGTTCTTGGAAGGAGAAACTTAAATTTGCTGGTGAGTTCCAAGAGATAAGAATCCCTACTACATTCTTACCAGAGAGTTAACCAGATATTGGGGTACACAGCAGTGTGATATAGTGGGAAAAGGCCAGACTTAGGAAAAAATCACACTTGCTGGCTGTGTGACCTTGAGCAAGATCCTGAATGTCTGAGCCTGTTTGCTCACCATAAAGGGCAGCAGTAACATGTACTTCCAAGATTACTGTGGGGATTAAATGAGATCAGGTAATATGAAGGTGTCTAGCACAGTGCCTGACCCAAGTAGTGGCCCAGAAAATGTTAGTTTCTTTTCTTTTCCTTCTAAGGGTCTGAGAATTGACAAGAAAAATGAGGGCGTACCTCTGGTATTTTTGAACAGAGAGACGCTCCAGTGGGAGCACCTTCCTTTGGCTGTATTCCCCCACCAGGCAGCCAGACATCTGTCTTCCCCACACTCCAACCACAAACCCAGACTTTGCACATGCCCTCTATATCACTGGTGTTTATAGAACTGGGACTGAGGTGGGGTCCCAGGCTCCCTTCTCTCTCCCTGCCTTACTTTCTTGACCGTCTTGGTCAACCTAAAATCTCTGGTGTCTGAAAGCTTTGGCTGTTCCCTGCTGAGTTTATATTGTGGTTCCAAGGAAGCCAAAAGTAAGTCCCTGCCCAAGGCCGTAAGAGGGGAAGTTATGGGAAATATCAGGGTGATTGCCTTAAAGCTAATCTCATGGTTAAGGGCTAGGAGTCCATGTACTATCCCAGAGAGTGAAACATTAGCACTGATGGCTGCAGTGGAGAGGGCAGGAACTCTGTCTCTAGATTAAAGGTCCATTTCAGCCACCTTAGAACAAAGGTTGTCTCAAAATGGTCAGTTTTGGCTGTTACCAGGGGCTTAGAGGGTAGGGAAGAAAGATCAGAGGCTACCCTGCTTAGGTGACTGTTAGGTGCCTGGCATAAGTAGATCATAAAATCATAGACTATTGGAACTGGAAGGGATCTTAAGAGACTGACCAAGCTTAGCCCTTGCTTTTACAGATAAGGAAACCAAAGCCCAGAGAGGAGAATTACTTGCTTGAGAACACAGCATATTAGTTGGAAGAACCAGGACTTGAACCCAGGTTTTCTGACTCCTAGATCAGAACAGTTTCCACTGCCTTCACCATCCATTAATACAGCCTATGGTGCCAGCAAAAAACCAGGTACCAGGTAGGTAGAATAGAAGATTCTTAGCAGGAACCTGCCTGTCCTCACTTTCCCTGGCTTAACTCAGTAGTGTAGGAGGCTAACAAGGCCGGCACAGCAAGGGTAAGAGTGTGTTATCATTACCAGCTCATTAGACTGATCAGTTTTAGGGCTGGGATCAGGCTTATTCACCTTTTTCTATTCAGGCCTGCAGAGAAGTAAATACTCAGTATTTACTTAATGACATTTACTGATGGACATTTCAAGTCAGAGAGCTGAAAGTGACCTTAGAGATGGCTATCATTATATAGCTAGGTAAACTGAGGTTAAGAGAACTGATTAGCCTCACCTCTTCAGTCTGTTAAAATCAAAGCCAGAAATTGAACCCAGAACTCCTGATTCCCAGCCCTGAGCCTTTTCTCCTTCTTCGCCTCATCTGTCTTTTAAGCCTACTCTACAGGGCACCTTTGGTGAGCCTATGATAGTCCTCACCTGCACGTGAACAGAAGTCAGTAAGTGAGGAGAGACTAGAAAGCAACCAAGTCAGCAAAGGGCCCTGTGGGAGGCATGGACACAGACAGAGGTGCTGACAGTATTGGTTCTTTTGGCTTGGTTGGGGGTTGAGCTAGTTGTTGAAGCCCAGGAAAGACCAGAGGAGGGAAAAGAAGTGTTCTTAGAGGCGAAGGGTGGGAAGAGTGATGTTACCATTCCTATCACCTTGGGGTAGGAAGAGCAGATCTATACCGGGAGGTCTTTTCTGCAGCATAGAAGAGAGGGTCACAAAGGAAAAGAAGGATACCAGTTGGATACTAGGCCTCCTGGCCCAAAGGAGATGGCCTAAGATACCTCCCTCTACTTTTCCCATGTAATTGCCAGGACTGGCCTCCTGAGGCTGGAGCTTCCCACCCAGCTTCAGTCTGCTCAGTGCTACAGGGCAGATGAGGTGAGGAGCTATGCTTTCTGGGATCCCGTGGGTGTTGGCTTCCTGCTAAGGGAGAGAGGGATCTGAGCTGGGTCCAGAGAGAAACATCTGGAACAGTAGTATTGTCTTGTGCTGATTCAGTTCTCCTGTCCCCTGGGTTCTCCACTACTCCTAGCCAACTATGGCAGCCCTGTGGCTTTGGAAATCATAGAACTGGCTTAATTGGCATCCCTATAGTTTGGTTTGTGCCAGGTTTTGTTGGGGTAGGTCCAGGGCTCTCCTGGCAGGGCAGAGCCTATCTCCCTGCCTTCCTACCAGCTTCTCCAGCTTGTAAGCTCAGAGCATCCTCTTTTCTTGAGCTATTATGGTTCCCAGGAGAGCATGGAACTAGTAATGGAGTGGTCCCTGGGTGGTCCATCTGGAAGGAGGCAGCTGTACATGTGGACTAGACCACAGGCCCTCCATTTTCTCTCTTCCTTCTTTTTCTCCAGCTTCAAAGGAAAATCCGGTTTGGTGGCCCTGTGGGTGTTCTAGGGCCTCAGACAAGACTTGACTTGGTGAAGGAGGCGGCCAGCGCACCAGCTGCTGCCCTGGGAATGTGTCTGCATGTCTGCCTGCTAGGAAATCCTAAGCTCTGGGAAAGAGATAAGGCAGTGGGACCTGCTTGATGTTTTGTCTTCCCAGCATCTGGGTCTGAAACAGGACCTCCAGAGGACCAGTGAAGCCTGGCTCTAGTACAGCCGCCCAATCTGTTTACACTGAGGTGGGGGAAAGAAGATGCTCTGTTCCCTCTTCACACAAACTCTGGAGTCTGGCTATCTGTGTGACTTTGGACACGTTGCTTCACTTTACTAAGTCTTAAGTTTCTCACTGTGAAATGGTTGTGATAATACTGATTTTGCAGGAGTTTTGTGAGGTTTAAAAGAACTGATGTTTGAAAAGAGCCTGGCACACAGTACTGTAGGTGCTCAATGAATGTTCTTCTCCTTTTTTAAAATGTTTATTTATTTATTTATTTTAGTAATCTCTACACCTAATATGGGGTTGAACTCATGACCCTGAGATCAAGAGTTGCATGCTCTTGTGACTGAACCAGCCAGGCGCCCCTGTTCTTGCTTCTTTTTAAGACTGGAATGGCTAGTGGTCCTGT